ATGGTAAACATTCGATTTTTTCATCTTAAAAATAAATATAATTATAGTAAAAATTAATTATCAAAAAATTATCGAAATCCCTAGGGCAGAAATAATTAGACTCGGTCTCGTTAAAAGGAAATTTGAAATTACTTGTGTTATTGTTGTTTTATCACAGAATGTACGAACGGTACCTACGGTTTTGCATGCGGTGGAAAATGTGAATGTCCTCCAAAAGAATGTCATTTTGAAAGAGGTTGTCTCAACAAAACAGGTACTCGAAATTTATTTTGCATTTAAAAGAACTCTTCAAAAAAAATTATAATAATAATAAATAAATAAACAAGCACAAAACAAACCAAACCAGACCTTCACTTTTTTTCTTAAAGCAGGGAAAGTGACAATCAACTCAATGACATCGACAATGAAATGGAGCACAGTTGCATGGACAGTGAGTGATACCTCTACTAGAACTCAAGTACAATCGGAAGGTGGCGTATTGGTCCCTATTGTGATAGCTGTCGTGTCTGTCACTTCCGTAGTCATCGGATTGTTGATAATCTACTGTTTCTGTCTCAAAAAACGGAAAAGGTGATTACTGATATATTTTTTGTTTATTTTTGTTAAGAAGAGAATATAGATTTAATATCATGCCAGTTTAAATCTTCCTTTTTTTAAGAAATAGAGAAGAAGAATGTCATGCAAGTGGACAGCATTTTATTTCACAAGAAAGAAGCTATACTGGTAATCTTGTTGTATGCTCTTAAAGATAATAAAAGGCATATGTACCACTCACTCTAGACATTTTTCTCTCAATTCAATTTATATACTAATAAAACATTGAATGTAGATATCAGATCAAAATATATTGAATATTTAAACTTAATAGTAAATGGGATTTGAAATAAAACTAACGAATCATAATCTTGTTATTGAAATTGATTCCTTTTTATTTGCTCTTTTTTTTCCTACATCACTTAAAGTTCAAAGCATAGAAGTAATAGTTTTGAGCTGAAAAAAGATTTTTTTTTCCTTGATTTTTTCCTTGATTTTGTTATGTAAAATTTTTTGACCTACCTTTTTTTAAAGCTTAACACGTGGGCACAATTTGAAATACAACCAGGTATTCTTCAATTACATAAGGAAATTCGAATGTTTGTTTGTATGTTGTTAAACTACTTCTCTATTTTTTTCTCATGTATAGTTTTGCCTAAGAGTACTCTTATTGAAAATATTTTAAAGAAACAGCAGTTACAAATATTCATTTTGTAACTTTCTGTTAATAAGAAAAGGATTTTGATCATTTGATGCTTATTCTAAATTAATGCTTATATAGAAGGATATGGAGATAACGAAAAGTATTCAATATCAAAGTCCATAAAACAATACAAAATAGTCCAAAACATCAGAGGTGGGATCAGGTGCCATGAAGGAGTGTTTATACATGTTAATGCGTTTATAAAATGAAAATATCTTTAAGTAAATATATAGATACTTTTCATAAATGAATTAGAACTGAACGAGAAAATCCTCGAGGAGAGACTGTCCAACAGGATAGCTACATGTTCTGTGATTAAAATAAAATGAAAATAATAAATGGTTATCTTATATTGCAAGAACCGTAAATGGTGTATAAAGGTTACACATTACATTAAAAAAACTCATGATCACACGGGTCTCAGTTCATTTATTTTTCTGTTGCAGTTAGTGAAGAAAATGTGCAGAGCGTTGTTGAAGAGTCTTTCAAACCTTCCGAATGCCTGTATTTCGGCGAGACAAAGTGCTTACAAACATGCTCACTACAGACTGTAACTTCGAATAAGGATAATGAGTTGAGTCAGGAAAAACACGAGTATGATACACAAGAGGGCAGTGAGGGACATTATAATACATTGCTTCTTAGAACTGGCCTGTGCAATCAAACTAATAATAGATGTATAGAGGAAGCTGGTACGTATAGTCATATAAAAGCTCTAGAAGGACCGACGGACGTGTTATTGATGGAACAGTACGATCATGTTAACGTTGTTTTTAATACATAAAAGACTACATATATTTAAATTTATATATATATATATATATATATATATATATATATATATATATATATATATATATCATATATTGTATATGTTCATAAAGTTATTTTAATAAAATGTTCAAAGAAGGCTTTATATAAAGTGACAGCAAATGACTTTGTATCGTTAGGAAGTATTTCATAGTTTGTTTGTTTGTTTGTTTTTTTGCCTTTTCCCCAAAAATATGTGGTTACATAAGAGATATTTGTCTTTCGTCACTTTATTTAAGTTTTTTTTTTGTTTCCCATAGTTTTCTTTATCATTGAAAAATTCTCGATTGGGATAAACTACATACAATAAATCAGTCATGAGAAAAATGACCAATGATAAAAAATAAATTAAAAATTGATTGACTGTCAATTGTCATGAATGATTTCACTGTGAAAATACTCATATCCATGCATGTTTATGTACTTTTGTATGAAAAAATAGTAATAAGATGATAAATGAATGAGCTAGAGGAAATTCGAAAGGAAAGTGTAAGAGTCTCAGAACAGACGTAAGGAAGACCTGTAATATATATATATAATATATATATATATATATATATATATATATTTATATATATATATATATATATATATATCATATATATATATTTTTTTCATATTTATATATATAGCTTGTAAACATGGGAATCAAGACGGATCAGAGGTTGGATCGTGTGTGTTGGATGAGTACGGTAAGCATAAAATGTCAACCGGGCATGTACGCCGTTGATTCCATGTCATGATAGGACAAACGGAAAGATCCAAAACAATTCAGAGTATAAATAATGACTTTACAATTAGAAAAAACAATATCAGTCAACATTCCACCTAGATATGTATGGTATTTGCAGAGAAGGTTAATGTTTCGACCATAGAACTTTGAAAATGATGCCTTTAACAATACTGTTGATTGACAGTTCATTGATGTGCAAGGCTTTATGTGTATTTTATTTCAAGTTCATTGAGATAAATCAAGTCGACACATGAAAGGAAGTAAATATCGTAAATTGATAACACGTCGTCGATATTTCTATATCTCCAGCTGAAGGCCACAGGAAGTTTTTGTCAGAATTGTTGAGCGGAATTTTAAACTGTGGGGAAAAAATTTAATACAACATCATTTGGAAAAAATAATGAAGACAACAAAAAAGAAATTTCGATGCTTGAAAATCATTTAATAGCAATAAACGATAAGTACAAACTCTAAACTGAACTGTATGACAAACAAGATGAATTTATCCTTTCCTTCGTTTGATTTTCTTATTTACCTTCGCCTGCGTTGCGTTAGAGTGTCTGCTCTAGAGTCGCAGAGTATTTCTGTACTCTTAGTTAAAACCATCATTGCAGAAATAATATATGTTCATCAATGACAGGCAAGTTGGACATAAATGGTCTCTGAAAGGCTGTTTTTGAGAGCATGAAATGTATATGAAGACAAGACAGACCCCCTTTAAAATCCGCCATTTGCAATGTACTTTCGGTTTCATATTTTAACATTTGGACAAAATAAACAGGTGAAACAACTTTCCAGAGGCTATCGAAGTCCACCCTGCCCTTCATTGATATGCATATATTGCTTCTGCAATTATGATGTCTTTCACTATAAGAACTGAATTAATTAGGTTTATTTAAGAAATATATGCCTTTTAAAAAAAGATTTTTTCTCAATAAATATTTTTTAAAAGTATTTACTATCAAGTGATACTTTCTATCGGTTAATCAATTGTATTTTAGAAACTGTAAAAGTTTTAAATTTATAACCCACATAGTTTTTGAGCTATTTGAAAAATAAATTTTTGGACAAATTGACCTTTGGTGAAACCTTAACATTATGTCCTTTTACAAGCAACTTTAAAATCGAGGCAAGCTTCTTTAAATTACACTGTACTTTAATATGTTGCTGTGAACAGTGATTTCAACAGCCTCAAAGTCAGTAAATGACGTCTTTAGAAGACATTGTTAGCAAATACAACCTATCAACTGGTTGCATTTCGATTGATATACTTCATTCCACCTGTAAGGCTTGTTCTAATATTACATTTTACTACGGATAATTCCATCTACCTGAACAATACACACGGCGTACGGTGAGTGTGATCGATCGACACAGGCGTTAACTTCTCCTAGATTCTTGATATTTCCAAGGTTAGTGTTTAATTTTCTTCTACAATTTTGAATTGTAAGCTTTTTACTCAGATATATGTTCTTTATCTTCGTTTATTTTATTTGCTAAAATTAATTTGATTTTTTCGCATGTGAATGAATGTTGCAGAAACTGAACAGATCTGTCCCTTTTGATAAGCAATCAAAAAAGCAAATAAAGATGGAAAATCTGCGGTTTCTAACCATAAACAGTATTGTTTTTTCTGTATAATTACTAAAAAAAAGGAAATATTTAAATGAGGCTCTTAAACTTAAAACTAAAAGAAGTAACAAAAATTTGTGCTCTCTCTCTCGGCTGTTTTGTTGCAGTTGTCTTTCTTTAGATGCATGTTTAGCCTTCATATATTACTTGTCATTTGTACTATGTTTGATAATCATTTTTAAGGAGAGTATAACTTAAAATGTTTAAATATCCTGAACAAAATATACTATAGTTCACCGTAGTGATAACTGTTATTAACTATATTGAGTGATAACAATGAAAACTTTGATTACTATAGTGATTACTTTGGCACAATCAAACCTTTTATTAACCATAATGATTACTATGGAAATTTTGATTAATTAAAGCCATTATTCAAGTATACTTTATATAATTGTATATAAGATGGTAAAGCTATATGTCTTTCATATTTAATAACATTAAATTGTTATTTACGAGAGGTGATCAAAAAGTTCGCAAACTAATTGAATAACTTCCATACAAGAAACAATATTTGGTTTTAATGTTGATTATATTTTAAATATATTGTCCCCGATTTTAATGCACATCAACCACCGTTCTGCGCATGCGCGAATCACCTGATATTAAAGGTCATATTTTTTGTCACAAAAAAAGATATTTCCGAAATTTATATTTCTTTCCATGTGAGTTAATTTTTATGACAAGAACAGTTCATTTGTCAGAAATGGTCATATCTCAGCAACAGAATGGGTGGATAATAACATCCTTTCCAAAAATAAGCAGGGCGACCATTAAAACACAAATCTGCTGTCTAAGGAGAGACCTTTATTTAAGGTGGATAGAGAATGGGTGAATCCTTTTTATCATGTCTAATATGTTTAAAATCTAAAGTAAACGATATCTTAGATATTTAATACTTATATTATTGTTCAAATATTCAATTATTTTTCAAAGTGCTAATTGGAGATCTTTGATAGCAAATTGCTTAATTAAAAATACATATCTTTTCAAACTTGCTTTCATTCGTAAGATGACAAGTATCATTTTTAACCATCAGCCTTCCTTCACTAAAACGATTAATCCAATCATTAATTGAATTTATAGGAACTCATTTATCTCTATAAACTGTGTACAAATTATTATATGATACTGCAAAGGGATTTCTAAGATATTACAATAAATTGTACAGTCGTTTGTTGAACGAGTTTGAAAAACAAATTTTTCGTAACAAATGACCTAAATAGTGACGTCATTTTCACATTGTGACGTCACAAACAAGGAGAGAAACTTTATTCAGCATATGCTATTTATAGTCCTTGTGTATGGCAATGTGTATACCGAATTTCATGCTAATCTGAATTGTGGTTTTGTAGATATAGAGATAGTTTGCGAACTTTTTGATCACCCCTCGTATTAATGCGTATTTTCTTTTTAAAACATTTTTTAAAAAAATTAAAACTAACAAAAATAAGAAATTATAGGATGTAAAATTTCATTACAATTTATATTACTGATTTTTAAAACGATTTTTCAACTGGTATGTATTTTGACGTCGTAATAGTGTAAATACACAAGTACTAATGTGTTTGACGTTTTGATGACGTGGAAGTCTTATAAAAGAGGTAATAATAGCAATTTGAGAATCTCTCCATCATTTTTACTTTTTTTTGGTATCAATCCTTTGTATCCGTCATATTTTGTAATACTCTATAACAAGAGGCCCAGGGGCCACATCGCTCACCTGAGCAATTGGCTAGGAAAAAGCACACATCAGACCAGAACTGAAAGTTTACTGAGGGGGGGGGGGGGGGGGGGTGGGTTGTTTTTTCCCCCCAGGGGGTCATGATTTGAACAAAGCTTGAATCCACACTACCTAAGGATGATTTCCTATAAATATCACTAAGCATGGCTTTAAAGTACTACAAAAGAAGATTTTAATAGGTTTCCCTAGAAATTCCTATGCAAAACTTTAATCGGCCATTTGGCCCCACCCTATTGCCGGGGGTCATGATTTGAACAAATTTGAATCTACACTACCTGGGGATGATTCCATAGGAGTTTCATTTTTCCTGTCTCAATGGTTCTTGAGAAGAAGATTTTTCTATATATTTCTAATTTCCTATGTAAAATTTTGATCGGCCATTTTGGCCCCACCCTACCCCCGAGGGTCATGATTTGAACAAACTTGAATCTACACTACCTGAGGATGATTCCACATGAGTTTCATCTTTCCTGGTCCAGTGGTTCTTGAGAAGAAGATTTTTAAAGATTTTTCCTATATATTCCTATGTAAAACTTTATATAATTGTATATACCCCCAGGGGTCATGATTTGAACAAACTTGAATCTACACTACCTAATATTTCAAATGAGATTCATCTTTCCTGGCCCAGTGGTTCTTGAGAAAAAGATTTTTAAAGGTTTTTCCTATATATTCCTATGTAAAACTTTGAATTCCATTTTAACGAATTTAATGGGGGTCATGATTTGAACAAAATTGAATCTACAATACCTAAGGATGATTCCACATGAGTTTCATCTTTCCTGGCCCAGTGGTTCTTGAGAAGAAGATTTTTAAATAATTTTCCTATATCTTCCTATGTAAAACTTTGATCCGCCATTTTGGCCCCACCCTACCCCTGGGGGTCATGA